AGCCCAAACATGAAATGATTAAATAAGAAAATCCAGGGTGTGCTTTCAGGCAGGATGTGTGGGAACATGAAGTTACCTAAACAAAGGAGATGTGAGCCTGAATTCCATGGGCATCCAGTGCTCAGAACCTTAAAGGGAGGGTTTATGCAACAGCCTGCTCATACTTGTAGGTGACCTTTCCAAGAGCTTGCTTGAAATTCATGACAAAACCAAATCTTTTCCTTGAACAACTGCCAACACCTGCCCATAGCTCCTCTCACCTCAATTCCAACAGTGGATTGTGTGTCAGAGACCAAGGATGTCAAATAAAACTGAAAACATGCACCTGGCACCCACAGACACACTTCTTTTTAACTCTGAGCTATGCTATGTTAAATAGGAAGCCACAAGGAAGGCAAAGCAGTCAGCTCAAGAGGCTGAACTGCCTCCTGTGAAACCATAAAATCAATTATCAGACAGAGAACACTGCTGAAGCAGGACTCCTCAGTTGATTGCTGTAATCCAGCTGCAGCTCCTGCTGTAATCCAGCTGCAGCTCCTGAGCTGCTTCCTTTGGATTGAGCTGCTCGACAGCCACCTGCTGGCTACTGGAAAGTGGCCTCTGAAACCAAGTTCTATTTTAAACGACACAAAGTAGCCCAAAAATCAAGTCAGAATCTTTCAATTCAAGGATACAGAGCTGGGAGCAAGACTGGCAGTTAGTAACATAACAAAGGGATGTGAACCTAATTGAGATGCTGGATTTTCCCAGGGAGCTTTGGGGTGGGTAGGAAAAGGACATTCACATCCTGTATGGCAGCTTTGGGAAGGCACCAGTCACCCACTGGCTGCAGCAGGTAAGAAAATCTATCAGCTGGTGAGGGAAAAAGACCTGCAAAAAATACAAGTCTTTGATCCAGGTTCTACTGTGCAGGTGTTCACATAAAGTAAACAAACCCAAATCCTTCATCCTCACAAGCAGCCAGCAACCTGGATTTGCAGAGGTGGAGAGGAGCCCAAGTGCTCCCTGCTGGCAGCAGTGGCAGTGTCTGGGATGTTCATGCATGTAGGGCTGTGGCCACAAAGGGAACAATGGGTTTGGGTCAAATTCCAGTAGGAAAAT